CTCTGCCGAAGGCAGGCGCGGGTTTTCACCATGAACTTTGAAGGTCTCGACCCCTCCCTGGCTGAGTATGCGCCCCCCCTGCACCCTGCGCTGGACCCCGGCCTGGACCCCCACCTGAACCCCAGCCTGCTGCAGAACGTGGAGCTGGACCCCGAGGGGGTGTCCTTGGAGGGCATCACGGTGCCCGAGTCGGTGCACCTGATGGAGGGTATCTACAGCGAGCTGCACACCGCCGTCTCTGAAGTCGGGGTGCCCGTGGCCGTCTCCCATTTCGACCTGCACGAGGAGATGCTCTGGGTCGGGAACCACGGGGTAGGTGCCAGCCCCAGGAGCCCTTCAGTGGGGACCCAGCCAGAGGGTGCTGCTCAGCCTGGGGTGTGCTGCAGCGGTGCAGAGCTGCCCGAGGTGTCTGGGCGTCTTGGAGCGTAGGGTCATTCAGGCTGGAGAAGACCTCCCGAGATCACCCAGGCCAACCATCAACCCAGCACTCCCATGACCACTAAAGTGTATCCCCAGGTGCAACGTCCACGTGTTTTTTGAGCCCCTCCAGGGATGGGGACACTAGCACCTCCCTGGGCAGCCTGGGCCAATCCCTCACCACTCTGCCAGGGAAGAAATTCTTCCTCAAATCCCATCGAACCTCCCTTGGTGCAGCTGAAGCCTTGTTTTCCTTCCTCCTATCGCTGGTTACTTGGGAGAAGAGCCAAGAGGCACGAGCCTCTTGGTGTTTCCCGAGTAACTTCACAGCCCCACCCTGTGCAGCTGCTGGAATTTCTGGTTCTTTACTCTTGTCTGCATACATCTGCTAGAAAGGGAGCGGCCTCAGGAGGCCCCCAGGGCTCAGGGCGGGCAGGAAGCCCACCCCATAGCCCGGCTGAGGCCGTGGGGTGGCCGACAGCCTCCCCCCACCGTGGAGCTGGTGCCAGGCAAAGCAGAGTTTGCCCATGTCACACCTGAGCAGAGCTGAGGTGGGCTGTGACAGGCCTGTCCCCCGCTGCTTTCAGGGCCACGCCACCTCCTTCTTTGGCCCCACGCTGGAGCGATATTCCTCCTTCCAAGTGAACAGCAGCGACGACATCCGCCAGATCCAGAGCCTGGAGAACGGGGTCCTTTTCCTGACCAAAACCAACCTGAAGTACATGTCACGAGGGGGCTTGATCATCTTTGACTACCTGTGAGTGCCTGCCCCTGGCAGCCGGCGGGCCCTGCCTGTGCTGGGGGAGCTGGTCCCGGCCCCTTTGCCACGGTGAGGTGGGAGGGGGCGAGGGCAGCTCGTGCCCCGTTTCCTGCTGCCTCCCCGAGCTGGGCAGCAGCACGAGGGCCACTGTCTCCCCTGTCCCACAGCATGGACGACTCTGAGGACATGCACAGTCTCCTGCTGACCGACAGCAGCACCCTGCTCGTTGGCGGGCTGCAGAACCACGTCATTGAGATAGACCTCAACACCGTCCAGGAGACGCAGAAGGTACAGCTAGGCTGGGGGCTGCTCCCCGGGCTCTTCCAGGGCTGGAGGGGGCTTCGTGGTGGGCCTCAACCCTGCTCACCTCACTCTATACTTGTCCAGTACACTGTGGAGGTTCCTGGCATCACCATCATGAGGCAATCAAACCGCT